AGGTGACATTCACGCCAGATCCAGACAAGGACTAGACTTAGCAAGACTGAAAGACGGCTCGGCTGCAAATCATGCCCAGCATGACGTCGAGTAAGTTGTCGGTCTCTCGCGCCTCTCTTAAGTCTTCTTTAAGCCATTTCTCCTTCTCTTCTTCACAAGTCAACCTCACCAACCCCGTCTCGCCCAAATCACGCCGCGAAAGGCATCACAGCGTATCCGAGCCTGTACACGACCAAGCTACCCACGGAGACGCCGCCGTCGTCAACGCCAACGGTTACACGTCCTCCCGCCCGCAGCGTCCCGCATCCCCGAAACGATCACAGACCGATACTACCGTCGACTCGCCAACGACAGCTGCGAAAATCAATGCCGGAACTCTGAACGTGACGCTTGAAGAGAAGGAGAAGCCCTCCGAGCCAGTGCTCGCTCCCACTCGACCTCCCAACAACAGAAAGTCCCGGTCTTGGGGCAACCGTCTGTCTGCACTGTTTCCCTCGCTCATCATTCAACCCACAGATCAGCCTCAGACTCAATCACCGCCTGCCCAGCCTCAGCTGCAGCAGCAACAACACCAAGTACCGATTCACCGCAAGCCGCTGCCCGACGACACTCCTCCCGCCTCGTCTCCCTCCGACAGCGCGCCCTCTTACCACACGGCTGAGCATCCCACCGTGAGACCTGTGACGAGCTCCGGACTAGGTCTGGGAATTGCTCCTGCGGCATCTGAATCCCTCGACCCACCTCCTCCGGCTGCTCCCTCTGATGCACCGCCTCCTATTCCTAGAAAAATCGCCCCCGCACCTCTAGACTCTTCAACAATATCATCCCCCGCTGCCGATCAGCCTCTGGTCTCTCCTCCTCAACCTCCAACACCTACAACACCAAATATGATGGCCGCACCGTTGCCGCCTTCTGAGGCGCCTCCGCCAATTCCCGCCAAGCTGCGCAAGGAGAAGAACTTGCCAACGCCTCCTGCAGGATCACACAACAACGATGCTCCTTCGCCCAGAGCTGTCTCCCACCCAGAGGCAACCTCGCCGGCGAAACTCAAGAAAGAAAATGCCGCCGAGCCTAGGAAGCGAAGCAGCTCCTTCCTCGAGAATCGCAAATCCGCATTCCCCATGCTTGGCGTTCGCGCGCCTTCACCAGATGCACGAGGCAGAAGCACCTCTGCACACCCACCCGGAGCCAGAACCGACACCGGAAGCTCACACCACACCGGGTCGAACGAGAGCCACAGCCCGACCCGTGACGAGAGACGTGGACGCTTGCGCAGATCTTGGCTGCCAGGTGGCGGAAGATCAAGGTCAAATTCTCACGACGTTTCCGCGGCTGTGAAGAACTCACAGGCGTGGGTCTTGTCGCCTGACACGCCTGGCGAGTACAACACTTCATTCTTGCTGAATGCTGAAAAGGTAAGCTTGTTGCCGCGTGCCGCATCACATCGGACGGAGAGACTAATCTACCTGCAGGTCCCAGAGTTGTGGAATGAAAACGGCAATGTCTACGTTTACCTTCAACCCAGAAGCAGTAATGCCGGACCTTCATTCAAGGTTCCGAGCTTCTCTATCATCAACTCGGTCATCTTCAACGAGCTTATTCAAGCTGAAATGTCTTCGCCATCGGGACGGAGCCGGGGTAGGAGTTTCGGTGGAAGTCTGTCCGTCGACGATGCGCTTGTCCGGGCAACCATTTCCGGGTCCGGCTCGCCTCCTGCAGAGGACCCAGACAGCCCTGGCGAAGGCGAGTTGAAGTTGTATCTGCCGGCAACGCCCCCACAATACACGCAACCCGGAAACGGCCTCGCCGCGCCGGGACCGCAACTTCGTGCTGAAGTTGACCGCGCGATCGCAATCCGCAACCTCTTTGCCTTCTTGACCGGTCAGCCTCTGGTGGCCACTAAGGCGCACCCCACCACCTTTGCCGCCTTCCTGCAGATCTCCAAGTTACTGAAGGAGTATGGCTTCACCAACGCGGACGGGCAGTCTTTTGGCGAGGCCGTCGACTTGAGTTTCGGTTTCTTCATGGAACAATTGTCGCTCGCAGATGTCCGTCACAGCCGCGAGAAGACGCTCGAGTCATTGATTCTGGGTGAGAGCATGAAATCAATGGACTTGTACAACGAAGCTTTTGCGCACGCCGTCGGCAAATACACTGCCATTCTCGACTTGAATTCTCCTCTATTCGAGCAGGTATCACTGTACACAAGACAACGACTTGAGCGCGCACATCTGGATCTCGTCAACCGCCAACACAACGTCAACATTAGATTGGAGCGGTTCGAATTCCCCTCGTTATTCGCAGGTATCGCCAGCTCTACGTCAGACCCTGGGCTCAAGGCTGTCCGCTTCAAGGTGTGGGAGAAGTACTTCAACAAGATGAAGCAGTTCGTCATGGGCTACTACAAGACCAACTTTGGAGCATGGCCCCCGAAGGCTAGCAGCAAGAAGAACCCGTTCTCTGAGAGCGGTCTCAACCGTTTGGTGTTAAAGGCGCTGTACTCCGACATGACTGCTCTTTACGATCTTTTGGTTGATCGCGAAAACATCACCACCAGAGTGATGGATGGAAATACCGATGAAGACTCTGCCAAGTCCACGGATCCCCTCTCAATTGTCAACCTGCGTAAGATGCTCACCGAGTTCGACAACTCTACGCCTCCCGTACTGCCGCCGATTCCTTTCGATGTTCCCAAGTTGCCCACGATGACGTCCATTCTCGCTACGTACGACAACTTGTCAGCCAAGGAGCAGGCCAAGTTTGACAGAAAGATTAAGGAGCACGAGTTGACGCTGGTCATTCAGAAGGCGTACAATTGGGACGCCAACAGCGTTAACATCCCCTTCCTCATGGAGTTCAAGGAGTTCGAGCAGCATGAGGCAAAGGGAAAGAACGCGGCAGACCTCGCTGATCAGCGCATCGGTTACTGGCTCTTCCTCTACGTCGTCATCCAGTCGCTGCCCATGCTCGTGGTCGACGCGCCCAACCTCAAGTTCAACGAGGGCGTCGAGTACTTCCTCTGTGAGCCGCCTATGGGTAACCTCCCTTGGGTTGAGGACGCTCGTCAGGTTCGCAAGATGTGGTACGAAGTTTCTGGCGGCAATGGCTATGTTGAGCTCTCTGCCGACAGTGTGTTGTTCAGTGTGGAGGCTGTCTACCACCGCAGCCACTGCTGGCTCGCGGCCAAGGAGTGGGAAGGGCTGTCCGGCGCGGACGCCCCACCCCCACAAGACGCTGGCATGTCTCCTCTGGAACCGCCCCGGCCAGTTTTCCCTGGTCCGGATGGCATTGTCGGCAGCCCCCCGGCCCTCGGCACAAGTGGCACCCCGCCCACACCTGGGTCTCCACAGTCCCATCTCCGGCCGCGTAATGCTTCGCCAGGCGGACGTCAGCTTGGCAGCCGCAACGCCGCGCACCGTTCCAGCATGATCTTCGGCCTCGAGCCCGTTCCGTTCGATGAGGGCCTGCCTGGCGACCGCAACTCGCGCGTCGGTAGCGCACGAAGCAGCTCGGCCGGCTCCCGTCCTCTGAGCATGGTTATGCCACGCTCGCCCTCTGCCACAAACCTGCGCAACATGTCTGTTGACCACACTCACGATCCCGCCACGTCTACCATGACCTTTGACGACATTCTCGGAGGCGGAGGCGAGGATAAGAAGACTACCAAGAAGAAGAAGGGCAAGTTCTTCTAAGCGACTTACTACTTGCGATGAGGTCTTTCATCCCCGTTATATGGGATGAGGAACCTGTATTTATACCCTCATAATACTGCGTGCGTACGCGTTTGGTTAAGCAAGATTTCTTGGCCTTCACGCACGGTCGATACCTGCATTTCCACCAAGCTATTGCGGGTGCTTGTTGATTTGAATCTGCATAAAAAGAAAAGGAGAACACAGCGGCATTTACGATTACGTCCATTTAGGGGAGACTCGGTTGGTTGACTGCCTCAAGAGGCTTTCAACATCAGAAGAAAAGCAGTTCTGTGTAGTTTGCGTTGGTTGCTTCATGGATATGACACCCCCCCTAAAAAAGAGCATCTTTCACATTTGGAGATTAGCGGCCTGTACCGGATGATGGCAACCCTCCTTTTCCATAGATCGATAATGATATCTGCCTCGGTGGATAGAGGCGCGGAGGAGGTTTATGAATACAAAGTCATTTGACCAAGTCACGTCCTGGCGTTTTGCGTTGTGAGATACGTGAATTCCGACAACATCGGTGGGGCATGTGGTCGTCAAGTATGATGCAAGTCAACTGGGCAATGATGGCTGAGCAGCTCTAACGCTCGTTGACGTATTGCTGTCATGTAGACAGGCCCTTGATAAGTATAGAATCCCACCATTGCATCTGGAAGCGTTTGTTCTGGCAGCGCTAGCAATGTTGGCGGGAGGTCGCATGTTGAATGAGGGGCTTAATGAGAGTGACGTACGCCCGTTGTCATTGGGGCGAGTGTTGTTTCTTGAGAAATTCCTCCATTTTCTTCGAGGGACTTCATCTTCACGGCCAGCGGGATCATCTTCTGAGTGTTCTGGTTGGAATATACGCCATGCTGGAAGTGTAGAGAAGGGGGATTCGGTGCGTGAGGAGAGTCGATTTATGCCCCTCAAGTTGTGATAGGATACCTACCACTTGTTAAACACCTTCTGCGACTTGGTCATGGCAACCCATTACATGAGGGCGGAAAGAGAAATGGACCATGCAACGGTGCTGAACCTTGCTTAGTACGACGGGTTGCTGGTATTTATACGACTCTGCTACCCGGCATACCCGTCCTTCGTGGAGATTCCTGTCGTGTTCCAACACGAGCATCTCAATCTTCCTGGTTTCATAAGTTGGGAGGGGTAGGTTGAAGACAAAGTGAACTCATTTTCTAAAGCCATACATCACTTACTTGCTGTAATGCATTGGAAAATACCAATAGCGAATGACATGTGGCTGCCACTGGATCGCAATCTCATACGTGACACATCGATATTCGTTTAACTCATTTATTACCCTCCTCACGGGAGGTCAATCCTATACTTCAACTCATCCGGGCTCACGCTCGTAGGATCCTCCACCTGCTTAATCCACACCACAGACTTATCCTCATACACAACCTCGACGTCAAACATGTGCTGCGACTCCCGCTCGCCGACCTGCTTCACAATAGTCTGGTTCGCCTCCTTGTAGCTCTCCAGCATGCTCAACCACGTCTGCGTGTCCCACAGCCCGTCGCGGCGCGGGTACTCCCGGAACAGCCGCATCGCGTCGGCCCGCACCGTCTCGTCCATGCAGAGCATCGTCGCCGCGCCGAGGGGCCAGGTCGGGCTGTTGCTGTCCATTGTGAACATCTCGCCCGAGGCGTTGAGCAGGCGCTGCTGGAGCTCGAGGAACTCTTTGCTCAGGTCGACGTAGAGCCGGAAGCTGGGCGTCATGGCCGCCAGCTCGTCCGTGTCGCAGTAGTTTGCCGTCCGGATCGGGATCGAGAGGTAGGTGGAGTGGATGCGCAGGCCCAGGACTTTGAGGTACTCTCTCGTATCGCACTTTGCTTCTCCTTCTCCTTCTTCTTTCGCCTGCTTCTCTCTTTTCTCCTGCGCTGCTTCGAGGAGGGGCGAGAAGCGCGCGCGCCAGGCTTGGACGTAGCGGTCGTGCGCTTTCACTTGCTCCTCGTTGATGGGCAGGCTGACGTTGGGCGGGAAGGACGGCGCTTTGTTGCCCGTGCCCTCAACGCGGAAGCCGATGATCAGGGGCGCGTGGTGGATTACGTGGTGCTGGGTGACCTCCCACCAGCGGTGCGCCTCATCGAGCGAGGTGAAGGTATCGGGCATCTCGTCGACGGCGTAGCGCGAGGTACCTTGGCCGCGGCAGCACCAGGGCACTTGCTTCTCCGTCTCCTTTGGGTGGTCGCCGTTGTGGCTCCAGGACTGGAGCGTCAGGCGCTGGAAGTTTGTGGCGATGGCGTCGACTAGGGGGTCGCGGCGGGATGTCTGCTTCGTCGTCTTCATCTTTTTTGACCGGCGCTTCTCGTACTGGTCGAGGATGTTGTACCCGTGGTTGAGGTGCGTCAGCGCGGACCTCCTGTCGCCGTGGAGGGCCTCGAACATGACGAAGAGGAGGCACGTCATGAGGACGCTGGGGAAGGTCTCCTCCGTGGGCGGGGATTTGACAGTCAGCTGCAGCGCGCGGTTGTAGTACTCGAGCGCGTCGGCGAAGTAGGGGCCTTTACCCGTGAGACGCTCCTCGCGGGTGCCGCTGCCGAGGGCGGCGGCGCCGATGGCGAAGGCGGCGTTGCGGACGGCCAGGTCGGAGCGGGCTATCTGCGGGATGGTCTCGGTGATGAGCTGGGAGGGGAAGACGAGGGTGTCTGCGGCGAAGGAGAGCCATTGGTCGAAATGGTCCTTTTGGAGCTGCGTCGTGAAGACGAGGCTCTGGTAGCTCGGCTCTACCGAGAAGGGCGAGGAGGAGGTGGAGCTGCCGTTGGGGCTGGTCGTTGCGATGAGCTGTTTTGAGGCAGCGCCGGGAGAGGAGGAGGCGTTTGGCGATTTGGGTTTGTACCCCTCACATTCCACCCGCCGCTTGAGACAGTTTTGACATGACGGCTTTGTCTCGTCACATTTTATCCTGCGTCGTCTGAGCGAGATTATGTTAGTACGATGAGAAGAGACGAGAACCCGATTTGATGTGCCGTGAGTTGACTTACTTGCATGTGACGCATCCCGTCCGGACTTTGGGCTTACTAGCCCTGGTAGTAGGCCCGGCGTTGTGAGGCCAGTTCTCGAGCGCAAAGGTGAGAATCTGGGGACCGGGAGAGGGCATCAGGGCCGGAGTTTTGTTTGGGCCTTTGGTGTAAGTAAGAGGCGGAGAAGTGAGAGAAGACAAAAGTGCCTTCTGGTTCTGGTAAGGGATTATTGGGGTTTCCGGGTACTCGGGTCTCGGAGACTGTGTGTTTCCCGCTATAATGTCTTTGTACAGATGCGAGGTCGCCGAATTGTAGTCTCTCGCATTTCCAGAACCGGAACACTTGGCGGGCAGCAGCAGCAGCGGTTATTACACAAGATTTGATGCTGCTGTACTTCCTCTTTCTCTCTCTTTGTTGTGACTTTGTAAGCGCTCAAAGGAAACGAAGGAACGATGTATTATTGCTGCCTAAAAACGCTCTTTCATCATCCGTAGTAACCCTGGTCTATCTCTTATGAGGAACGGGCAGAAAAAAAGGAAAAAGAGAAGAAGGAGAAGGTAGGATGAATCCTTCTGCAAGTCAACAAGTTGAGAGTTGGTCTTGTCAGGCAAGTTGACGGAATGGGAACTTGACAGGAAAGGGGGGGTTCGTGGAGGATAAAACGTGGGGCGTTATCTCCGAGCTATGAAGTCAAAAGCAACGTGAGGAGAACTTCGACCACAAGGAAATCGAGGAATTGGAAACATCGGGAAATGCGCACCGCCACCCGTTAGCACGAGTTGGCGGCATGGCACGCATGGGTGCCAGGAGTTCAGACCCCTTGGCTGGGTGCAACATGGGGGGGTTGTTTGGTTGTCAAAGTCAATCAAAAGCCGCCCTGGGTCCGGGGGGGTTGAGCCAGGCAGCAGTGAATCGTGAATCGATGACGGCTAGATCACGGAATCATAATCATTACATAACATCGGTCAAGGACATCGATGAGTTCACAACTTTCTAAGCGCTGGCTGGGCAAATGTGAAAACTATCCTATTGAAAGCCTCGAAGCCTTTTGGGGGCCGTGGCTGTGTCGCACATGGTTCCTGACTGCGCCGCCGTTGAGAGACGTGGTCTGGCAAAAGTCTAGAACTAACTACCAGCTAAGGTAAAGTCGGCAAACGTTGATCGGATAACTACGCCGCCCCGCGTGGGTGTCAGATCGCTGGGTGTCTGTGTGACACGTTCAACGTGCAAGTTGCCGCGCGCGGAAGGGGGGGAAAGAAGATGGAGGGGGAGGGGCAGCCCCCCGGCCGTCCGCGATCCTAGGCTGTCCCCAGCGAACTCCATAACGTCGCCGACTCGGTGACCAGAAACCCTCGTCGGTAGGTTTAACTGGACAGCTCCGGCTTCGAAGTGTGGACGAGGAACGGAAGCTAACAGCCCTGTGGGATTTCCAACCGTTACGGATACAGGGCTGTGGGCTGGTCCTTGGTCGATGGTATGCTTCCTCATTGGAGGGGAGTGGGTATGCGGTCATCTTAAACCACCCGAAGGATTCTGAACCTTTTTCCTCCCCTTCATGAGAAACCTATCACAACCGCAAGGTTTAAGGCTGAAGGGAAGGGCTTGAACTTGATTCCATGCCCCTTGCCCCGAGGAATATGCCCCCTTTGAGACAGTCGGGTAATCAACGGCCTAGTTGTACTTCGTGCAGCACTAACTTGGAATGTATCGGGCTTGTTCGAATGTCAGTTGATCATTGGGCTCCTCCCGAAACTTAGTATCATTCGATGTTGAACAGCCCATGCCCTCGACTCTTGATGCCATTGAGCCCCAGTTCATGCTCATTCTTCGAACTAGCTTTGCGATAAGGATCTTGATGATTGCCGTCATTTCCATCTTTGAGTGGTAGAAAGTTGGGGAGAAGCCTGGAGTCTGCGGCAATAGGTTTTTGCACCAATGAATCAGTGTGCACCGTGGTGGATAGGGGCCACGTCTGAAGACTTCTCATAATCCTTAATCGTCGTTGGTCCTAAATTATGTGGACTTTTTCAAGATAAGAGTGTCCAGTCTTCCAGGCAGATACTGTCGAAGGATCCTACCCTTAGCCCAGAGCTGTCCTGGATACACAAATCGGTATATCAAAGAGGGCATGGTTGTGTAGGGTGCGAAGCGTAAGGGGACCTATCTAGCGAAGGGGAATATGTGTTTTTCCGACAATGGGAGAACCTCCAGTTGATCGCTGGTTGGGCACTGACCAGAAGCAAAGAACTCGTGGAAGAACAAGGCATCGCATCAGTTGTCGACGGAAGAGTGACTTCGTACTGCGAATGCTACCAAGTCCAGTTATCCTCTCAGTCATTCTATTGAGTGCCTAAAATGCAACGACAACGGGACAATGAGGCCACGGACCTGCACAATGATCTTGTTCGAAAGTACAAGAGACATGGCGCTGTCATCGATAAAATCTGGAGAGGTTTTGGGGCAGGCCAGCGCGCGAAGTGTGTGAAGGCCGGGGTAATGGAGGGTGTCTTGCTCAGACACTCGGGGGACACTACCCTGGGCGATAACTACAAGATCTTTCCCGAATGGAATCTGCGCGACTTGACTGAACGGCCCGAACATTTTCTTAGCATGCTAGAGCACCGCATCGAGAAAACGCCTATGGAGCAGTACTGTTACGGGGTTAACGGTAGTAAGGGTGATGCTGATATCATTCAGGAGAGCATGCGGACGCAGGGTTTACGCCCGCCTGCATCTGAAAAGGACTGGTACATGCTGTTTTCCGACGGGGAATGGTACGGTTTCAGTGTTTATCTGCCCGAAAAAGACGAGAAATCGTTGGGCGGGTTTGTCCCGGCCATCAGAGCGGGACTTGTGCCACCAAGTGACATCGGCCAGCTGATCTTAAAACGCCAAGTCACCTTGCTGCGGTCACTCAACATCCTCATTGACGATATCTTGGATCAGGGCTCGAAGACGCGGAGTACCGACCAGCGCCCTAAGAAGCCAGGGGAGATAACCACTGCGGCATTCTCAAAATTGAGCATCTCACAACCACCCGCCAAGCTTTCTCTGGCCGACCTCGTCAACGCTGCCTGCGATCAGGCGGCTTTCTTCAAGGAACGCATAGAGCTCTGCTCAGAACCGGCTGTTCTTGCACACGACGTCAGTTTCTGGTTCTGCAGCCGGCCAGAGATCCTCCCAGACGAGAAAGGACGTCGTTTGCCGGTGGTTTCTGACAAGTATGTCAGTGCCAGCGTCTTTTACGCTGTCCATAACGCCGTCAAGGCGGCTGTCCTGTGGAATTACATGCATCAGCTCCTCGAGCCTTTCGAAAGCTTGAACCAAGACAAAGCCCACCGGACTATCCTACTACCGGAGATAGCCAACGCCGCCTAGCTCGCCTACGTCTCCGCCCAGGCCTTGTTCAAGCGGCATATTCAGTCGCATTCGGGCAGTAAGTGGTACAAGCGGATGTTCAATGTGTATGACAGCGTTGGCAATGCGCGCGTGACGCTCAAAAGCAATCCAGGCGACTTGACGCGAAGCGACCCTCAACATCACTACATGCTCCGGCTCTGCCACCCCATACCACCGCGGCCAAGGCCGTCGAATGGCTGAAGAAGTTGGGTGATCTTCACCAAGCTTATCCCGAAGAGCGAGAGAAACTGGTCGAGAGCGAGTTCGAGTCTCTTTGTGACCTGGCCACCACAGTTGCCTTCATCCAAGATGTGACCAGTACAATCTCAACGCCAGCTCCATCCCGCAAAAAGGGGCAGTTGTTCGTCTCCAGGTCCCAATAGCTGGAGAAAGAGTTGATTGAGCTCAAGACCGGCATTGATCTGAGGGACTTTGCCGTCCCCATCGACAACCTTCTAGAGCCGGGAATGACCGCCGAGGCTCTAGAGAACCTCAACCAGTTTATGGTTGACAATGCCGGCGCCAAGCTTGGTGTGCTTTACGAAGATCTTGTTTTCGAATGCTTCTCCGACCTTGAGAATCAGTATCAACAGTACAAAATCAAGATCACCCAAGGCCAAAAGGACTGGACGCCACTTCCGGTGCCTGCCCCCGAGCCGCGAGAAACCTTGGTGGAGCAGCGGAAGCAGAAGGAAAAGACTCGTCCGGCCCACGTGTCTGCCTTTGAGGTCGGTCCTGAGGCGAATGTGTCGACTACAGAGCCGGTCGTTGAGAAACAGACTTTCAAGGTCTCACCAGCGGCTGCGGATGTTTTCAACGCCCTCTTCAAGAAGTCCGAGTCTCGAGGTGCGGTGAACTGGACGGTCTTTGAAGGCGCCATGGCCGAGCTCGGGTTTTCGGTCCTGCCCAAGTACGGCTCGGTTTTCACTTTCATGCCACCCGATAGTATGGCAGTGAAGAGGCCGTTCACCATCCACCGACCTCACAAGTCTCAGACTGAAGGGTACATGACGCTGGTATACTCTCGGCGGCTCGCGAGGGCGTATGGATGGGATGAGAAGACGTTTTCAGTTGCGTGAACAGCTTTGTGATGTTCATCGCAAGGAGCACGCAAACTTAGGAATGCGTAAAATTAGCTGGGTTTGGCGTTAAAAAAATGATATACTTGCTTGTCTGGAATTACAGTGTTGGGAAACTTGGGCCGATAGGGTGCTGAACATGGGATGATCCGGGTATCAGAACGGATTGGTACGAGGTCAGATGAAGGTCGAGAAAGTCAAGGGATGTTGACCTTGTGTTTCCCAGACTTAATATTCAAAATTGCCAGACTTCGCTTGGCATCTTTTCCCTCTGGCTTTTGCGAGCGTGGTGCCTTCGAATTTGAAAGTAGTCTTAGACACCTCGTTTCATCCGCCTGCGTCTCAACTGTGGATGAGGGCCGTATCATGCCTGAGAAAAAGGTGTCATTGTGGAAAGACAAGGCGGCGTTCGCGCCATTTGAGAAGGCCACGCAAATGTAGCAGAGCGATCGAGTCCTCACAAGCGCAAGTAATCATCTTCGAATGCTGCTACAGCAGTGGATTATTCTTGCGCCAAGGATGCTGACTTGATTGATCCTCGTCAATTGGTCACCTATCGGCATTGCGTCGTTGTTGGTGTTCAACCGACCTATCCTCGTCAATTGGTCACCTATCGGCATTGCGTCGTTGTTGGTGTTCAACCGACCTACCGATGGTCGGTGACGTCAACTGAGGTCTGGCTGCAGTGAAGTGTCACGTGCAGTGTTGATCTAAAATTGGTATAGCGCTAGCGGGCCGCTTCCAAATTGTGGGTCTTGTGGCCTGTGCGACCGAGCCCGTGTGTGGGGTGCAGGTCTAGCGCCGAGCGCCGATATCACCGAGCGGCCTCCTTCGGAACTCCGATGCGCACAATGTTGTGAAGTTCACACATTGTCCAAATTGTAGCCGAACAACATGAAAGTTGGCCAGCAGATAGAATTCGGCCAGGGCTTTTCAACCATGCAAATGACAACATGGTCGGGGACGATTTTCGCTCTGGCGAGTTAACATGCCACTAGGGGAGATTATTGTCGCGTTTCTTCCTCATGACACTGGACAAGCCAGAGCACACAATGAAAAAAGAGGTTCGCGTCGCCTGGAGGCAGTGTAATACCAGGGACACTGTGAGAGGAGCCGTGTGCAAGCACAGAGGGCTTCTCTCGAGGTACAAAAATAGGAATAATCACGATTGGTCTCCTTAGAGACCTTTCAGAGATTAAACTGAAAAGAACAGATACTACACTTGATCTAAGCCAAAAGGCAAAGAGAGCTAGAGAAGAAAGAGAGAAAACAAGCAAAGAACGGCGACAGACGGCGGTTATATAGAGATTCGCTGGGCGGTGTTGCGAGGCGCGGCTGGGGCGAGGCGGCAGAATGTGCGAGGACACGAGTCATTTCGGGCGGGGAGAAACCTTAGACCGCATGGATACGTGCGGAAATTGGCTGCAGACATGTCCAATGAGCTTGTTGGGCCAGAGACAGCCGCCTGTTTGTCTGGGTCAACTTTCCGGTGAGTTACGTGAAAACATCCACCACGAACAGACGGTGAGGCTCGACGACGACAGCCATTGGCTTACTGCGACTTTTAAGGTCCACTGTCTTTTGGTTTACCTTGTTGACCGGCTGGTCGATTGCGGTCTATGGAGTCTAGGTACCAACCAGACTATGGTTGGTTGTGGCCTGGTGGGAAAGTGTGACAAACAGAAGTCGGAATTTCACAATGTTATGCCAACGTGTTCTGTGCAATTATGCAGCAGCTTGCCTATGGATAGCACAAATTGCTGCACAGCCCAAATGCCTACGTGTTTACTTCACCGAGCTCACCGGCGCAAGCACACAACAAGGTGTTTGATGGGATGGCGGGGATGGGTGTTCACAACAAACTGTTCGTCCGCAACGGTCGTTCCGCGGGCCTGACCTTGGGGACTCTTCTTATTAGGCATCCAGTCGAGAACATACATGTTGCGGCTGTTCTCCGTCAGTGACCCAACGAAATTGATCGTATCCCAGTATTGTGTTTCTTCGCTGCTCAGAGTTCTTAATGATAGCCCTATACCAAAACACCCTGCTACGCAAATGTGTCACCAACAGTCAATCTGCCAAATCTAATAAGTGCTTTTAAGTCGTGAGGCCTCGTTGGTCCGGTTCGTTACCCTCGGCAAACTATCTACTACTTTCTATATCTATATCACTATTGTCCTTATCATTATCATAACTATTCCTCCCACTAGAGTTATTATTACTCCTCTCACTACTGTCATTGTTGTTTCTCCTACTATTCTCATCGCTGTTTCTCCTGTTATCGCTATTCCTCCTGCTATCGTCGTTGCCGATATTGTTGCTCTTGTCCACTTTCTATATATTCCTCGAAGAATATACCTTTAGAGGCCTTGGAGAGAGACAAAGACTAAAGATTCCGACGTACTAATCTTTTAGACTTGGAGCTTCGGCCGGCCTCGACCCCATACGCTCCGTGGATGTATTACCGTTACGAAGAAGTCACCGAGGCATGCGTTGAATATGGCGCCGATCGTGAAGATCTGACCTGCATGGCCAAGCAATCACGCAAAGCCGGTGAGATCTCAAGCTCTTCTGCCATTCCTTGTTGCTCTCAAGGTCAATCATCAACACAGGCACACTTCAGAAGCCTGAAGCTTTCTTGATTGCATGTCGAGCAGACCTTCCACATGCGGCCTTGTATAAGTCAAAGGTATGTCGAAAGGAAGAGACTTCTGCTCCGGTATCGAGTCCTTTAAAGTGTTGTATATTGTGTTTAGTGCCCTTCTGACTTTGACGACTTCCAACTGGTTACCGCTCTAACTGGCTCTCTTCTGTGAGCCGTACAAGTTGACGTCCCTCTCGCACGCGTAAGTTTTGCCTTCACAAGCCGATCATTACGGCTTGGGTCTATGGGAGCTCTGAAATATACTTGAGGGAAGGAGGTCTCCAGTAACCCGGACTTCTGTATCAATGCCCGACCCTGGTCTTCTCCAGACAGATTCCTCCCCAGTCCTAGTCAGAGTGGCTGAGAATCAAGTTAGACGTTACTCTCACGATGCCTGTCATATCCAACTGATCCTCAATCCCGCTAGTACGATGCCTTTCTCGAGTTTTGTTAGGATTACCTTGGTGCTCTTGGCTTAGATTACTACATGTATTTTCCAGGGAATACAAACTCATCTGTGTTTACTCGGAAGTATGTTCAGATGAATATACTTGGAAAGAGCCCAGGAGGTCTTAAACTTTCGACCCTAGTTGAGTCGCCTGCAGGTAGCTTTGTCCAACAGGCGGTGTAAGCGGCCTCGACCGTGGCGGCTATGACAAGTGCCTGTGACTTGCATCAAGACATTTGGCCAGGGCGTATCATATCGTCGATATTCCAGCCTCTCCTCAGTGCGCCTGGAAGTATCCGTGACACTTTTGCATCCTTCTTTAGGCCCTTTTACTGAGTGTAACACTAAGGAAGACTCGTCTGTGTCGTCATAGTCTGCTTCACCCAAGTCCTCTATTTCGGCAGGGGATACCTCGGAGTCATCAAGTGTAGGAGAGTGACGCTTATCGACTTGACTTAAGAATGTGGGTACTGTGCTGCCGTACGATCACTTTTTTCTTTTTTGAATAGCTGTGAAGCAACTTTGACGGTGCAAATGACTCTCGTTCCCCTCCTCCAGCAGCTCACCTGTCCCACTGACATGGCAAGTATCGTCCGATCCGGTTGAGAATCAAGAGACGAGTTCGCTGGCACCGACAGTCAATGGAATGGGCCCACGTGGACCGACTAGTGAGGGCCCATAAATATAATGATACGCTAGAGGTTCTTCCCTCTATCCAATGGATCGCTTGGGCGACATGTTGCCGATAGAAATACCAACCTAAATATGCGTTCACCGCAGTATTTGCGCCTATCTGGAGACGGTCTGTTTCGCAATATCGGCAATCTACTAGGTAATATACAGAACACAGCTGTTACGGACTTCATCTTGACTGGGGTGGCTTGTCATCGCTCATTCTCGTTTGACGCTTGACTTTCATTTGCTCGCAGGCTACCGAGTCATCGACTGATACCAATACAAGCATCTATGAGACTTTCTACAGACATGTTCTGATAATACAAGAGAATTTGAAGGGGAGTATTCAAGCGACTGATTGCCTCTAAGATCTTGGGCTACCTCACGAGAACTATTCCAGCCCTGTTTGCTTGCGATATCAGATCGTAGTAAATGACTGTTGGTCAAAGCATGGGTTGTTCGATGGGAATAAATCTAGGTGATCCAGAGGTTACTAGACGCAGTTATCCGTAGTTATGGTAGTAAGCTGAGCCAAAAGACAGAGTACGTACGAGCTGGCCTTCATGGTCTCATCTCTGCTATCCTAATCCCGACTGCCATGTCTCTATTATGTCTCTTCTCCCTTTTTGTAAATTACGAAACACGGAACCGCCATGAGATGCGAAAGGAAAAGAAAACTAAATAAGACTGCTTCAACCAAGGCCAGAGAACCCCCATTGCTTTCGCGAAGAGGGTGGTCCCCTCCTCAGTGCCTTAAGAGGTTAAGGCAAGAGCGGCCTGGGGTCCTTCAGCAGTAGCCAGTGTCGTTATTCTGGGGCTTTTGGATCATATTCCACAGCATTTGTACACTTTCATTGAGTCGAGAAAAGCGTCTCGAGGAGACAGCGGTGGCACCCGGATGCCCGTTCAAGAATGGCCCCGGCGTCCCGAAAGTGTGCCCAACTTTTTATGGGTCTACCGGAGCTTGTACCGGCCGCTGCCACCGGGTGGCTGGAGTTCCTGGACCTTGCCCAATTTGGGCGGGATACGTACCTTTTCTCGCCCTGCCGTGTGCACCACGGAAGAGAAAAATTGGGGAAAGAACAACTCAGCTGAGCCCTCAGCCACGGGCAGCTTTGCTGGACGTAGCGGCGCAGCATCCACTAGGAATCCACCAGCCCAACCAATGTGCCAGTGTCGTATTACCGCGTTGCATGTCTGTACTCACTGAGGTGGGAATCCATGGCAGCCGCTGAACCGAACTGACTCTGGGCGACAAGACCAAACTTCGACAAGTTTCCTTCGCCCAAAGCCGTCGTCATCCTGCCAAGAAACGAATGGCAAACTGCGAACGCACGCCGCGTACGACGTAAACCTATTCATATATCCCACTCAGCGCATAGCTAGTTTCGCGCCAACTTTACATTGGCCTTTTCTCTCCCTCTGTTCAACAGATTTCGCACGCATCCCGCCTTGCAGCTACACGCCCACAACCGCGCTTCCCGACTGATCGCGCCGAGAGACACCACCAAGGTTCACCAGCATGCCCAGCACGAGGGTCCGCAAGGTCTACAGGACCGACGATGTCGTGGACCTCAAGGACGAAGAAAAGGAGCAACTGCTCGAGGTACGTTGAGCTACTCGCAAGTTTCCCAAAGCTCGACCGTTAGCTGACAGCTCTGCCCCTCCAGAGCTACCTCCCAGACGGCCCACCCCAAGACGCACGACGACAATGGCGCGACGATGATATTCCTCCCAAGGGCAGGTTCGGCCTGAGACGCGCCCTCCGCTCAAAGCTACACCTTGCGATTTACACAATTCTCCACGCCATTTTCTCTCTGTATATTCGGATACGACAAGCATGGCATCTCGTGTGCTACCACATATCCTCCATCATGTTTTACCACCACCGAACACCAGAATATATCGAGCGGGATGTTGTTGGTCTGAAGAAGAAGCCGAAACATCTCAGCGTCATTTTAAAGCGCGAACCAAGTGGGAGACACGGGGCTGAGTTGGAGAGATTGGTCGCTGAAGCGGCCGAGATTGCCGTATGGTGCGTCTGCGCCAAGATTCCCGTCCTGACGGTGTACGAGCGGACAGGTAAGCTCCTGATTCCATGTGTATATCCCATCACCCTGCTAAATTTTCTTCTCCCAGGTCTTCTTAAGCACTACCTTCCTCACCTGCAACAATCCATCATCCAGAAGTCGCGATCCTACTTCGGTAGACACCAGCCAGCTTTGACCGTGGCCATGCCGCACGCCGACGACGTCCTCGAGTCGCCAGCCCACGGCGATTTCGCGCGCAACGACCCGCGCCACCTCAAGGTTCTCTTCATCTCCGCAGAGGACGGGCGGGCGTCCATGGTTGATCTCACTCGCACCTTGACCGAGATGTCACAAAAGGGCAAGCTCCACCCCCGTGACATCAGCACAGATCTGATCGATGCGGAGCTGTCGGAGGGAATCATGCCGGAACCCGATCTGCTCATTTCGTTCGGTCCTTACGTCGACCTTGATGGCTACCCTCCCTGGCCCATTCGCCTCACTGAGATCTTCTGCTTGCCGGATAACCAGGGCGTCGGATATCAAGTCTTTTTAAGAGCGCTGCTCAACTTTTCAAGCGCACAGTTCCGCAAAGGCAAATAGAGAGGTGTTTGGGTTGCGTATACCCCATGAAAGTTGTCACGACGTTCCCTTAGGCTGGTCTTTGGCGGAAGATACCCGCATTTCCCGCATCGTTTTGTCCCACCGATAGACAGGTCCGGTTCCGACGTTATAGTTGTAGTAATTATCAGTTCCTTCCTTCACCATCGCTCGCCTGAACGTGATGTTGATTCTCCCGCCATCCTCCGCATTCTTGCCTGTTCGCTTGGGTATCGAGTGAAGCCAATTCGATTGAGTGCGTCCGCGCATGAGAATCATGTCACCGCTGGCTAATGGCAACTTGATCTGTTTGGGCTGCGGTCTATCCGGATGCTCATTGTCTGGGGGTATCGGCTTGTGCTTCATGAGGAAATCCCTCCTCGCGCCGAGGGAGAAGGAGGCGATAGCTGGATCCGGACCAAGAAACCTCTCATCGTCGCTGTGGAAGGAGATGCTATCCGTGCCTGAGGCATAGTAGTTGACGAGACAGAAGTTGAATTTGCAGTCGGTTGCTGTCTCGGCTGAGCGACGGAGGTCATCTAGACATTTGGGGATTGGCCGCGGTGGGTATCTCTGGTACAATTTGTCGACGACCTTGAAGCCAGACTTCTTGTCTATGACGGAACCATCGTCGTCGAATCGGGATGTTTCGTCCATACCAAATACCGTGGTGTACCTGTTCGCATGAGTTGGTGTTATACACCCAAGCATGGAGAGCCTCCTTACCGTGGCGTGCGAATATGAGTTTGGAAGCCGCCCCTTTTGATATCATACTCCACTCGATAGAATGGCAATTCGGAGCGCAGAAACTCAAAGAGATTCTTGGCCATGTACGACGGAATGTAAGGCTCAAAATACACCAGATCGAGGTCTGGTTGGTCATTCATGTCTTTGCCTGGACGTGCAGGGAGTGACGAGAGCTCTTTACTGATGCTTGTGGGAAGCTCTGAGATAGGTATGGGATAATTGGCATGAGTGGACTGGCCGACCTGATACTCATGAGCTTCTGTTAGTAGGGAGTCCTACGAACGCATTTGAGCCGCAACTAAACATACGGTTTCGATTGGTTCATCTTCCTTGCGCGGCTTCTTCACAGATGGCGCGAAGAAGGAGTCCAGGGTCCGCTTCTTCGACATAATGTACGATGGGCTTCCTGTGAATGAGAAGTATCGTGTAAGTTGAGGTTGAGCTTGGATGAACCGGCGCCCGTTGAGCAGTAGCCACATGCAACCGAAAGCTCTAACCAATAAGCAGCAGCCGGGATGTTAGTCTGAAAGACGCTTGACTATATCATTGAACCTTAACAAGACACAAACTCCACAACTATCACGAAAACTGAGGTGAGCAGTCCCTCACATTCCTCTCAGACATGCCTGTCGACCAATCATCAATGACGCTTAGATCACGAAGCTCCAGTGACATCACCCTGTGGCGTCCATGCCCCACTCTCGCACCCGCCAAACCTCAGCCTCGCCAAAACGCCACATCTGGGACCCCTGCCCCTCAGCCCTAGACGGAGGTTTTTCCTCAGCCTTGCCCCTCCATGACTGTGCCCAAGCATCGACTCATCAACATGGCGGTAAGTCGAGACCCCTGCACGGCCGACCAGCCTTAGCACTTTGGATATTGTGCTAATATCATCGTGAAGAACTCGAACTCCGATATGATTAGCCTCCGCGCGCCTCTTGCCCGCGCGGCCACAATTCTTGACCGTTCCCTCTTTTCTAAGAAGTTGGAACTCGCTGCCGCCACGGTCAAGGACCCCCGCAACATCTCAAAGTACCGCAAGCAGCTGGAGAAGGGCAATGAGCTTCTTAGACTCGACCGTCTGGATTCATGCAGAACTGATCCCAAGTCATCAAATTTGAAATGCCTTTTGTTGCGACCTGGCGTGAAAGCTGATAGTATGTACCCCGCTTATGCTTGCTACATGTCTCGAACCTGTGCCTAACCCAGAATTTAGCACCGACGACATGGGGTCCTGTCTTCCAGGAGGGTATCAAGACTGGAGAGCTGGATGTGGTCCCCTATGAGCTGCAGCTCGACTATGATTACTGGAGCTACCGTAAGTGTGGTTTGTCTCGAACAGAAAATGTGACTTGCTAACCCCTGACGAAGTTGATGTGATGACATCCATCTTGCCTGAGGAACTTCACGTAGAGATCCCGGTTGGATTCAATACGGCTGGACATGTTGGTATGTCACCCGAAGTAATGCGGCGAAACCAGCCACTGACCCTCACAGCGCACCTCAACCTCAAGGAACAGTACCTCCCTTACAAGAAGATCATCGCAGAGGTCATCCTCGACAAGAACCCCAAGATCACCACCGTTATCAACAAGGTGGATGACGTCGGCGGCAATTCAGAGTTCAGAACATTCGCGTACGAGGTCCTTTGCGGACCTGAGGACATGAACGTCGAGGTCAAGGAGAACGACTGCGTCTTCCAGTTCGACTATTCCAAGGTGTACTGGAACAGCAAGCTCGAGCCAGAACACACTAGGCTCATCGGTATGTTCAAGCCGGGAGAAGTTGTCGCCGATGTCATGGCGGGCATTGGACCGTTCGCCGTGCCGGCAGGAAGGAAGGGTGTTTTTGTCTTCGCCAACGACATGAACCCCGAAAGCTACAAGTACCTGAACGCAGCTGTCCAGAAGAACAAGGTCCAGCAGTATGTCCGTCCGTACAATATGGACGGCCGTAAGTTCATCCAGGAGGCCGTCCAGCAAGTCTACGACGCTTCGAAGAAGGGAGAGGGAGCTGTAATCAAGCCCAAGCAGTCGAGAAGCAAACCCCAAAACCCGCCTCCTGAGCCGAAGCACATCCCCATCCCTCCTACAATCTCGCACTTCGTCATGAACCTACCAGCTTCGGCCTACACCTTTGTGAACCATTTCAAGGGCATTTACCATGGACACGAGCAGCTGTTCGAACCTCACACGTCTGCGAAGCTACCTATGGTCCACGTCCACTGCTTCGCCCTCAAAAGCGACGACGAGGTACCCCTGAATGACATTCTCGAACGTATACACGCCGAGATCGGCGTCAGGTTCAAGCTTGGGGACGCGGATAAGCAAGGGGAAATGACCATTTACAATGTGCGGGACGTTGCTCCGAAGAAGCGCATGTTCTGCGCGAGCTTCCGTATTCCTCCTGAGGTCGCCTTCGCGAAGGAAAGCTGAGATTCGCCCGCTCGGTTTACAGAGTCACCGTCCCCACAGACATACTTCGATGTCACTGTCACCGAGATGGACATGTCGATGCTGGCTTGGTGACACAACTTCTCAGTGGCACCTTTACCCGGGGACACCTCTTCATTCACGCCACACGGGAAGCCTCATCATCCTCCACGAAACGTGATCGATGTTCCAACCGCGTCGTCCAGGCATTTACCAACCCCGCCTCGCTTCGCTCAACTTGCAGCCGGTGTAAGGCTGTCAAAGCTCTCAGCAAAGAGCTTTCCCGGCGCCTTTCGTATATCTGGCGTACCTAGTTGAAGGACTTACCTGATCGGCCGTCGTGCAGGAGAGGGAGCTGGCCAACAGAGATAACGTACGGCAACCTGACGGTGCCGTGACGGGGAACCTTGGCCATCCTTCATTAAATGCGGAGAGTGAGGAGTCTGCAAAGTGAAGAGAAAAGAAACAACAACAGGAGATGGCGGAGGAGGAGGAGGATGAGGCAGGTCCACCTCGTCTCGACCCTTTGTGTCCCGGCGACTACAGCTTCGATACCAACCAATACCCATCTCCAATCGCACATTCCTATATCTGCCCCCCGATATACATGCAATCATGACTACTTGCATCCATCCCAGTCGTGCATATGCGCGCCCCATCCCCCTTCATCTATGAGCCCTGGTGGTAGTGGTGGGTTGTCGTTGTCGTTGTCGTCGAACGCCAGAAACCACCACAACGTCCAGCATGTGATACCGCCGGCGCAATCCCGCCCAGTCCAAGGGTTCGGCGTGGTCGAACCGTCGAAGGGACAGCCCCTACCTCACCTAGACCGAGCCTCCATCTCGCGACGCCGCGCGACGCTGTGCGACCCCATCTTCGAGACGACCCCAGTCCCGCCCAGCCGAAGGTCAAGGTGCAGCATCCCGTTCGTCCCCCGCCCCGTATCGCCCCCCTTCTTCTTCTTCTTCTTCTTCTTCATCAAGTCAGGGCTTGGTACAGCTACATCCACACGAAACGCGTCTTCATCACCTGTATCTCTTTTCGCCTGTTTTTCAGGCGTCGCAGCGGCTGCACCATGACATGTAGATGATGACGAGGGGTTTTGCTCCGGTGAAGCGGGGACGGCGCCCAGAGGAGGAGCATGGCAGGGCCTAGAACGCGAAGAGACTCGGCACCTCTGTGGTTTGTCCCATCCCGCCACCACCATCAATCAACTCCTGCAACCTGTCAAAGCTGTATGTGTATGTGCATGTCTTGTGCGTGTGTGCTTCCTCTTGTCGAATTTGCGACAATCCGGGGATATGTCTCAATGGGCTGTTGGTGGTGTGTTTTGCGCACCGCGAATCCAATATCCCGTCAATCCCTCCAATTCCCGCCAAACATCATGAACGACGTCCTCAGTACACACCACATCCAAGCCTTGAGCATCCACATCACGCATCTATCACTATTTACTAAATCCCGTCGCAGCGGCAGCGGATCCGCGCCCTGCCGCGGCGCCGCGCCGTTGATGGGCCCAGAGTGCCCCCCCCCCCCCTAACCCCCAGCCAGCCTCTCGGGGAGCAGGCGGAAGGGGGAGGGAGGGAACCATTCCTGGCTCGGGCGATAGGTATTACTCAGAAGCCAAAATGATGTTGCCATTTCCCGAACCAAGATTCCCGTTGAGTTGTGAGAACGTCAACTAGTACGGGAAAACCCACACTCCCTATCGCGCTCATCATTGAGCGGTTCCTCTCTCTCCACGGGCCCCCGGTATTCGAACTCTCATCCAACCGTATAATTTCTCGTCGCAATGTCTATATCGGTTTGCATAGATATTGTGGGTACTCCCATCGTATGCATGACATGGGGTAGGGTCTCTGGGAGATAGGGAATAGAGAGACAGCGTTCGTCTCTGCGTGTAAACATATGTAAAAAAGACCGGGAAAA